AATCAGAACCAGCGCCCCGACGGGCCAAAGGGCAAAGGCCAAACTCCAACACTAGTAGATCTACCCTAGGCAATAGGACTGTAACAGTAGTGTGAGAACCAAGGCCAAAACCAACAAAAAATTCAGAAAGCGAAGTGGACGCGAGAAGGAGCAAGAGGAGGAAGAACAACAGCAGAGCGACAAGCAACACTAGGGGACTTACTTGGCGATGCTGATTGCTCCTCGACGGCAGCCACAGCAGAGGGAGACGAAACAGCGAAATAGGCTGGTTTCACCCGGTCGATGGACACAGTGTCCTGACGGCCCTTGATGTCGAGAACCATGGACTTAGCAAAGCGAGAGACCACTTTGTAGGGGCCAGAATACGGCGCTTGGAAAGGCTTCCTGACGGCGTCAACGCGGACATACACGTGCATGCAGGTAGACAGGTCAGCACTGACGAATACAGACGGACGAGCTTGCGGACGAGTAGTCACATGTTGGGGACGGACGGCGGCCATGGTGTCACGAAGTTTCTGGACGAACTGAGCTGGGGTGTGCGACAAAGCCTCAGCTGGAGCGAGAAACTCTCCCGGTAGACGTAGAGGACAGCCATACAGGAGTTCGGCGGAACTGCAACCCAGATCCTCCCGAAGAGCGGAGCGAATGCCAAGGAGCACAATAGGCAGTAGAGCTATCCACTGATGAGGGCGAGTGTGGGCTTTGATAGCTGCCTTGTGCTGCCGATGGAAGCGCTTAACCATGCCGTTGGCCTGTGGATGATAAGCTGTGGTGCGGGAACGGCAACAACCAAGGAGACTCAGCAGCTCCCGAAAGAGGGCGGACTCGAAGTTAGCACCCCGGTCCGTGGTGATGACGGATGGCACGCCGAAACGAGAGATCCAGGTCGACACCAAAGCAGCAGCTGTCGATTCAGCAGTGGCGTCGGGCAGGGGCATGGCCTCTGGCCACCGGGAGAAGCGGTCAATACACGCCAGGATGTATGTGTAACCCTGGCATGACGGGAGCGGACCAACGAGATCAATGTGCACATGTTCGAAACGCTGGCCAGGTGGCAGGAAACGACCAACAGGACTCTTGGTGTGACGCTGGACTTTGCAGCGCTGGCAGTCAGGACTCGTGTGCACCCACTCCTTGATGTCTGTATGCATGTGAGGCCAGATGTAGCGCGTTGCGACGAGACGGCGGGAAGCTCGAACACCTGGGTGTGACAACTGATGCAGGGAGTCAAACACAGCGCGCCGGGATGCAACGGGCACATACGGACGAGGCTGACCAGTAGACGTGTCACAGGTGAGAGAAGTAGGGGTACCGGGCAACAGAACTGCTTGCCAGACGAGGGAGGTACTCGAAGCTGCGCGTAACTGGCGAAACTGAGCATCGATCGACTGAGCTGCAGACATAGCGGCAAAGTCGAGGGCAGGCACAGCTGTGGCACCCGCAGGCAAGACGGGCATGGCAGCGGGACAAGCAGACAGGTCATGCGCAGCAGTGGAATCAGCAGGCAAGACAGGCGCAGCAGCGGCACCAGCAGGCAGTACAGGAGCAAAAGCCAGAGGAGGAGCAGCAGCAGCAACAGCAGACACAGCGGTAGCACGGGACAGTGCATCAGCAACTGAGTTATCTGTGCCCTTGATGTGGCGAAGATCCGTGGTGAATTCGCTGATGTAGGCCAGCTGACGGAGGACACGAGGTGGATGTGTTGTGGTGGTGGACTGCATGGCGAATGTCAGTGGCCTGTGATCCGTTAATATGTAGAACTGGCGGCCTTCAAGCAAATGCTTGAAGTGGCGCACAGACAGGTAGATAGCGAGCAACTCACGGCCAAAGGTACTGTACCGTTGCTCAGTGGCGGACAACTGCTTGGAGTAGAATGCCAGTGGTTGCCAATGACCGTCAACATACTGCTGGAGGACAGAGGATGGCGGCTGGGCCAGGTCTGCTCTGGAAGGCGGGAGAACACTCACGGCTGCACCGGTATCGATGAGGAACGACCGTGCTGTGGCGGGGTCCCGAACATGGAGGAGACGGCCAGGTTTCACTGCGGAGCCAGGGACCGAGGCCGTATTTAGTTCCTGGCAGTCCCGTTTCCCGACTGGTATTGGCAGCCGGGCCGGCAGTGGAGGGCGCGGTCTCCAGATCGGCGATGGTAGAAACACAGACTCCAGACTAGGGCTGGAGTCCCGTGACGATGTCCGGCTACCATGGCGACTGCTCGGACGAGAGCGAGATAACTGCTGTACAGCTGCAGTTAAATTGGCGATCTGGCAGCGCAGATCGTCCAGCTCAGAACTCGGAACGTTGGCAGCGGGTGCGCTGGCAACCGGAGCAGCAGCCACAGTTGCAGCAGCAACAGTTGCAGTGGCGTGTGGGGCGGAGACCTCCAGGATGCGGTCGGCCATGTCGGCGATCTTGTCCAAAGACATGGAATCGCCGGAGGAAGCCAATACCATCTGCACCCCGGCGGGCAAACGCTGGATAAACAGCTCCCGGAGCAGACTGGTATCGATGTCTGCACTGCCCAAGAGCTGCTGCATGCGACGAAGCAACTGGCTGGGTTTGCGGTCACCAAGGACCTCTTCTGTGAGGAGGCGACGAAGGCGTTGCTGCTGGGACTGCTGAGTTCGGCGGACTAGCGTATCGCGCAGCTGCTCATAGGGACGATCGTCAGGGGAAGATATAATCATAATTATCCCTTATTTCAATAGCATACTCCGGTTCCAGGGCACCAATCACGTACTGAAATTTTGTCAGCTGCCGTGTTATCTTGCGGGTGGCGAAGACTGCTTCAGCTTGAGCAAACCACAGCTGGGGGTCTTTGGGCCAGAAGGGGGGGAGTTTGATGGTCACACTGGACTGCTGCACTACAGGCTGGTCCGGTGGCACGTCAGCCGGCTGGCTGGGGCGCAGTTGATCCGAGAGGGTACTGCGGCCACGGCTCGCGGGTACGTTGGTGTCGGCTGTAGCTTGGTTGCCAGTAGCTGCATCAACAGCTTGCTGCGCAGAGTCCGTAGGCGTAGACATGGCTAACGGGCGTGCGTGGGCACGGAGCAGTACTGTAAGTGTGGACTTGTCGGGGGGGGGTCACCAATTTAGAGGTCGGGGAAACCGAGTTTAATGTGTGCCTCTAATTCACACAGATTTACAGAAAACCACTCGATTTTTAATGGAAGGATTCTTCCATATCCCACACAATCAACTCGTAAGTATGTTGCCAAAATAACTGCCTGTTAACCACAGAAAAACATCGTGCATGACCAAGAAACCAAACAACCAGTCAACTGCATACCTGTAAAACTCTCTGCCCCTGGGGTGAAGAGCGAGGCCTCAATAAAAAGGCCTCCCGAAGGAGAGAGTGGACAGCTAAAAACGTAGCATGCGTACAGTGTGTATAACAAGCAAGGTCAAAAGATCAAATAATGAGCAGTACGCATGTACGTGGAAAATGCCATATAATGTGTATACGTGAGCCAAATATGTAACCCATGTAGACAAATAATGCAAAGAAAAGAAGTAGAGGTGGCATATGTGCAAGTAGATAAAGTGATGGGAAACGATAGGGTTTACGGAAGAAAACAATTAAACCTAGAAAACCAGTAGGTACGCTACAGTATCACCCACTCTCTTAATATTGGCCGGTGTTTCCACTGAGTCTTGAGATGTTGCAATAAACGAGAGAGCTTGGAAGCTCAGGGCCCTACGCTATGTTTTTTTGCCTTGATGACCTAGACAAAAAAAAAGCATAGGGATGTTATAAATTCTTTAAAAAATTCTTTTTTTTAAAGACATAACCTGGGATTCGAACCCGCACTATCGCGCGCCCTGCATGCATCCCCCGATACACTTCGCATACATGCTAATTCTTCCAAGTTGTTTCTTATTGTGATCTTGCATTTGAAAGTCCTATTTGAATATGCATTGTGGCCAGCCGTCTTTGATGGCATGGTACGGTAGGGGATAGGTACGGGACAGGTACGATCGAGGGTAATACGACACCGCCTCCCGTACCGTACCGTACCGTAACACAGCTGGCCACATACAGCTGCCCGCAATATTCAAATAGGGTTTTCAAACGCAAGATAATAACGTAAAGCAACTTGGAAGAATGGGTATGAATGCGAAGTGTATGGGGGAATGCATGTTGGGTGATAGTGCGGGTTCGAGTCCCAGGATATGCCTGAAAAAAAAAGGAGAATTGGAAAATTTATAACATCCTATGCTTTTTTGCCGTCAGATACGGATAGCGCCAGGCGTGACACAAACAAACAAACACACAAACAAACAAATACCAAATTAAAGCTGTGTGGACCCTGGCTAGCGCCAGACGTTACTGAAGTAACGTCTTCTGCATAGCTACGGGAATAAATAAATAAATCTAGTGTTGAGCAAGAACACTCAATATGTAACATACATGTACATGTGCATGTAAGTATCTGGCTATTGCAAGTGTAGTGCATATTCACGAACATTCTACAGTCCATGCACACGTGACATTACGCAATGATTGCATAGGCAAATTCTAGTTACTTCCCTTTTGATTACGTAGTGATTACATCACTTACACATTACCCATTTGCCACATCGAGCGTATGACGTTTTTCCATGTTCTTTCTCTCTTGCATGTCATGATGCAATACTGATTGCACCTACATGATGCAATACTGATTGCACCTACATGATGCAATACTGCTTTGTACTTACATCAGCAATTGCAATTCTCATGACCACATCCGTTTCCTTCTTGCACTTTCTACCGCAACGCACAATTGCTAACGCTTCTCTCTCTACCCTATATAAGCTGCATTCGCTTGCATATTATTCAGATCAATCGCAATCTTTTCCATTCCGACTCAACTTGAATTAGTGCTTTCTTAGTTGTAATAAAACGTTGTGTTCCACGACCCGTTGCACGGCTGAGTTGAATCTAGCGAAGCACTAAATTGGTGACCCCGACGTGATCGATTTCCGACCTGATTCAACGTTCTGTGCAATTTTTAGAAATGTCCGACAACGAGCAACCCGCTCCCGCTCTCGAGGCTGATGCCGCTCCAGACCAAGCTGCAAACCCCGCTGGAAACGTTGGTCCACCAGACGCTCCGGCCCAAGACGGCCCTGCCGCAAGGACCATCGCGCCAGTCAACTTCAAACTGCCGCCGTTCTGGCCAGGTGACCCGCAGTTATGGTTTGCGCAGGCTGAAGCTCACTTCTCCAACCACCGGATTAACACCTCCCGAGCACGGTACAATGTGATCGTGTCATCGCTAGCTCCGGAGTTTGCAACAGAGATCCGTGACCTGTTGATCGCTCCACCGCAAGACGAACCCTACGCCAAGCTGAGGGCTGCACTCACAACACGGACGCAAAAGTCGGAGCAAATCCGTCTTCGAGAGCTGTTGTCAACCGCCGACGTCGGAGACAGCAAACCCAGCAAGGTCCTACGCAGAATGCAGCAGCTACTGGGAGGAAAATCGCTTGACCCTTCTATCTTGCGGGAACTCTTCGTGCAACGTCTACCCCCAGCTGTCCGTCAGATTCTAGCAGCTACACCTACGACTCTGTCTCTGGAGGAGTTAGCGGCCCTCGCTGACAAAGTGGCCGAGTCTACAGTCCCATCAGCGAACACTCAAGTACACGCAGTTTCGGAAAAGGCCACTTCAAAAACTGCTGCAGTCGGCTCAACTGCCTCAAGTGCTACCACTTGTTTCAGCCCCAGCTCTGACTCGACGACTCAGCTGTCGCTACTCCGTTCGGACTTGGACAAGCTGTGTCTGACTGTACAAGCGCTAACCCAGGTGCGCTCCCGTGGACGTGACGATTGCCCCATCAAAACGGCGGGATTTCCAACACGGGATCGGCGCACTGGACGCAGCGCTTCCCGCTCTCCCAGCCGCGCCGTACGCATTGAGGACACCGATAGCGACGACGTCTGCTGGTTCCACGCCAAGTTTGGTGACAAAGCTCGACGTTGCCGATCTCCATGCCGTCTGTCGGGAAACGGGACCGCCAGCCGCTAATCGCGACCACTAGCCCGGCTGGCTCCACCTCCACTTCTGAAGGTCGCCTCCTGTATATGCGTGACCGTGTCAACGGAATCAATTTCCTGATCGACACCGGCGCCTCAGTAAGTGTACTTCCTCCGTCCTTTGCTACCTCTGTAAAACGTTGTCATAGCCCTAGTCTTCGTGCCGCCAATCACAGTACTATAGAAACGCATGGTCAACAATTCCTTGAGCTTGACATTGGTCTCCGTCGGTCGTTCAAATGGGTGTTCGTTGTCGCCGATGTCAATTACCCTATCCTCGGAGCCGATTTCCTGTGCCACTACAAGCTGACTGTCGATCTTGCAACGGGACAACTGCAGGACTCCTCGACCAATCTACGCATCAACGGAGTGGCCGCCGATGTCACGGATTCTGCAGCCAACCTCCTCGCAACCGATCAACCGAACCGATATTCGTCTCTCCTGGCCGAGTTTCCAGACCTTGTTCGACCTGCTACTGGTGAGTCGCCATCCAAGCACAATGTTACCCATCGCATAGTCACTAATGGCCATCCCGTGCATGCTAGACCCCGCCGCTTAGCTCCTGATCGCCTTGCCACTGCTAAAGCTGAATTTCAGCACATGCTCACACTGGGCATTGTTCGCCCGTCTGCAAGCTGTTGGTCTTCCCCGCTGCATATGGTCCCGAAACCCTCTGGTGACTGGCGCCCTTGCGGCGACTACCGAGCCTTGAATAACTGTACAGTCCCCGATCGCTACCCCATTCCTCATCTGCAAGACTTCACTTCCCATTTGCATGGCACGACCATCTTCTCCAAGATAGATTTAGTCCGAGCATATCACCAAATCCCAGTCCATCCTGATGATATCCCCAAGACTGCCATTACCACACCTTTTGGCCTATTTGAGTTTGTCCGAATGCCCTTTGGTTTACGCAACGCTGCCCAAACCTTTCAACGCTTCATTGACCAGATCACTGCCGACCTTCCATTTTGCTTTGCATACATTGATGATCTCTTAGTCGCTAGTGCTAGCCCCGCTGAACATGAACGCCACCTCCGCTGCCTGTTCCAACGCCTAGTTGATCACGGTATCATCATCAACGTACAGAAGTCCCGGTTTGGCGTATCCGAACTAGACTTTCTGGGCCACCACGTTGATGCCACCGGTATTCAACCCCTACCGACCCGAATCCAAGCTATCAAGGAGTTTTCGCTACCGACCAGTGTCCGTAAGCTACGAGAATTCCTAGGCCTGGTCAACTTCTACCACCGGTTCCAGCGCAACCTCGCAACCCGCCTTGCACCACTCAACGCCATGTTACAAGGTCGGCCGAAGAGCAAGGGCCCGCTTGAGTGGACGGATGAGGCACGCGAGGCCTTTGATTCGACCCGCAGCGCCTTAGTCCACGAAGTCACCCTCTACCACCCTAGCCCTGACGCTGCCTACAGCATGATGGTTGATGCATCCAATGTTGCCGTCGGCGCTGTTCTACAACAACACATCAACGGTGAGTCCCTGCCTGTCTCGTTCTTCTCACGCAAGCTAAAGCCGGCCGAGACCCGTTATAGTACGTTCTGCCGAGAATTACTAGCCATATACCTCGCCATCAAACACTTCCGTCATTTCCTGGAAGGCCGTCCGTTCCACGTCTGCACCGACCATAAGCCACTGATCCACGCTATCCGAAGCCACTCGCAACAACACAGTCCTCGCCAGCAACGACACCTCAGCTACATTGCCGAGTTTACCACTGATCTTCGATACGTCCCTGGTAAGGAAAACGCTGCAGCTGACGCACTCTCGCGTTGTGACCTACCCGATGACGCCATCGCAACCATTGCCAGCCTGGACTTCGGCAGCCTCGCCCTCGCTCAACGGGCCGACAAGGAACTCTCCAAGCTCCGTCACACTGTCCCTCCGTCAACATCACTCGTCTTCAAAGACATCCAGTTTCCCATGGTTAACACACCGATGACGTGTGATATCTCCACTGGCTCCGCTCGTCCATTCGTCCCAAGCCAGTTCAGACGAGGTATCTTCGACTCACTCCACAACCTCTCTCACCCCGGACACCGGACCACCCGGCAGCTCATCACCAGCCGCTACGTTTGGCCGTCAATGAACAAAGACATCGCTGCGTGGTGCCGCTCCTGTATCGCTTGCCAGCAAACCAAAGTCCACCGACACACGACCACTCCACTCGCCAAGTTCCGAAAACCAGATGCCCGATTCTCGCACGTCCACATCGATATTGTGGGACCGCTTCCACCGTCTAACGAGTTCTCGTACCTCCTAACAATGGTCGACCGTTTCACTCGTTGGCCCGAGGCCATTCCCATACCCGACATCACCGCCGAGACCGTCGCTCGCCACTTCGTGAGTTCCTGGGTTTCCCGCTATGGTGTACCGACTCTTCTAACTACCGACCGTGGTTCCCAGTTCGAATCGTCCCTGTGGTCCTCGCTGATGTCTCTCCTGGGTACGTCCCGCATCCGTACAACCGCCTACCATCCTGCCGCTAACGGGTTGGTTGAACGGTTTCACCGACAGCTGAAAGCCGCCATACGTTCTTCAGACAACCCCCGCCGCTGGACCGAACATCTACCGCTGATTCTACTGGGAATTCGTTCTTCCCTCAAGGCTGATCTAAACTGTTCGGTTGCTGAACTAGTCTACGGTTGTCAACTCCGTCTACCCAGCGATCTGTTCATCGAGACACATGAGCAGTTTCCAGATCCCACATCCTATGTTAGTCGGCTGAAGCAAGCCATGGCTGAACTCCGCCCTACACAGCCCCGCCACCCATCTGGCCGATCCGTATTTGTTCCTGCCGACCTCGCCACCTGCAGCCATGTGTTCCTTCGCCAGGACTCCGTTCGCACACCGCTACAACGTCCATATTCTGGCCCCCACAAGGTTCTCCGTCGTACGGACAAACACTTCACCATCGACCTCAACGGCCGCACAGACGCTGTCTCTATTGACCGTCTGAAGCCAGCCTACATCGATGGTGAAGAAGATGCATCGGCTCGTCCTGCCCCGACGCCGTCTCTCGCTCATGATGTCCTCCCACCACGACAGACCCGCTCCGGTCGTCAAGTGCGCTTTCCCTCATACTATTGAGCCACTCTCGTGTTACATTCCATTCAGATATTGTAGGTTACAGTACCTTGACTTGAACCATTGCGCATGTCATTTTCATATCGTGCATTTCCCCCGGAAATCCACTAGGTGGGGAGCTCTGTAGTGCATATTCACGAACATTCTACAGTCCATGCACACGTGACATTACGCAATGATTGCATAGGCAAATTCTAGTTACTTCCCTTTTGATTACGTAGTGATTACATCACTTACACATTACCCATTTGCCACATCGAGCGTATGACGTTTTTCCATGTTCTTTCTCTCTTGCATGTCATGATGCAATACTGATTGCACCTACATGATGCAATACTGATTGCACCTACATGATGCAATACTGCTTTGTACTTACATCAGCAATTGCAATTCTCATGACCACATCCGTTTCCTTCTTGCACTTTCTACCGCAACGCACAATTGCTAACGCTTCTCTCTCTACCCTATATAAGCTGCATTCGCTTGCATATTATTCAGATCAATCGCAATCTTTTCCATTCCGACTCAACTTGAATTAGTGCTTTCTTAGTTGTAATAAAACGTTGTGTTCCACGACCCGTTGCACGGCTGAGTTGAATCTAGCGAAGCACTAAACAAGTAAATTCTTGCAGAAAACTTTAACCCACAATTTTTTGACCGCATTTTTGCGATATTCTTGTTTGGTGTGTCTAGCTTCCTGTTCTCCATGTCGAAATGCATGTTTGGTGGTTGTTCAAGTGTTCATTAGTATCTGACCAGCATGCGTAGAACATTTGGTTCAAAAATAATGAGGGATGCCAATGTTACAAGCATTTGAATGCATGTACATGTATGCTGGCGCCAAAGATAGCCTATCACTTATAGAGAGGTTTTGCAGAGCGAACGTTCGCGCGAATTTTCGTTTGACGTCACGAAAAGCGAAACTTCGTGCGAACGTTCGCAGTTTTGAACGCGAAAGTTGCAGGAAACGCGAAACAAACTTTCGCAGTAATTATTTTCGCTCTTTGTGGACCGCTGGTCAGCCTGGTGCACGGTGATCTTCATGTTTGTGCTTTATCTCTACTCTTCAAAGTCTCTTGGCTTGGTCCGCGAGTGCTAGCTTTCCTATACTTGTGGCAGCCCGTGTTGCTTCATCTCCAGAACCATCTCCGATCTCCTGCTTGCTCGTCTTCTCACTGCTCAGAGTCGGTTACATCAATGATGCCTTTCGAATCTCACGTGTTGATGCGCAAGATTACGGCACAAGCCAACCCGACCCATTTGTCTGTGGGTCTCCGGCCATGGACAACGTAGTCAAAGAGCTCTCGTCTCAGGCCGTGACTCAAGGTACCTGGTGCGCGTGCCGCCACTCGCAACCAAAAAAATAATCGGATGGAGACGACTTCTCAAAAACAAGCGAGTGCACACGAACATTTATTGGAGCGAGATACATGCAAACTTTCGCAGTAATTTTCGCTCTTTGTGGACTGTTCGTGCACAGTGAGCCACCCTCAGTCCTCATGTTTGTGCTTGATCTCTACTCTTGGCTTGGTCCGCGGGTGCTAGCTAGGCTATACTTGTGGCGGCCCGTGTTGCTTCATCTCCGGGGCCATCTCCTGCCTGCTCGTCTTCTCACTGCTCAGAGTCGGTTACATCAACGATGCATCGATGCCTCTTTGAATTTCAGGTGTTGATGAGCTAGATTACGGCACAAGCCAACCCGTTTGTGACTGTGGGTCTCCGGCCATGGACAAGGTAGTCAAGGAGCTCTCGTCTCAGGCCGTGACTCTAGGTGCCACCACTCGCAACAACAAAAATAATGGGGCTGTTAAGTGTGACGTCACGGCCCCTTCGATACGCATAGCAACGGAGAGCACTGGGGACAAACAAAAGTCGCGTCCTCTGGATGGA